TTTTTTTATTTTTATTTTTTTAAAATTTTATTATTTTTTTACATTTATTTAGAGTGTGTGTGTGTGGCCAGCTCAGCCCACCAGGGGGCGGGCTGGCCGGCATGTGGTGCTGGGGGATCGAACCGCAGTCCCTGTGTTTTGCCAAGCTTGTTCTAAGTAGGTGCTTTAGACCACTGAGCCATCTCTCCAGCCCCAGAAATGTAATACTTTAGAACAGGTGGCTTATCAATAACAGAAAGTTATTGCTCAAAGTTCTGGAAGCTGAGAAATTCAAAGTTAAGGAACCAGAAGAACTGGTGCCTGGAGAAGACCTGCTTCTGTCTACTTTCTGCACCCTCACATGAAGGAATAAAAGGAGCTCTCCCCTTATAAGGGGGCTCATCTCATTCACTGTGGCTCCATTCTTCTCACCTAACTACCTACAAATGCCATCACTTTGAGAATTAAGCGTCAATAAATGAATTTTGGGGTGCCTACCCTTTAGTCTGTTGCTGCAATTTCCCCACTTGTGAACCAGAGGGTTGACACCTGCTTTCCTGACTTGTTTGGATTGTGGTCTGTGCTAGTGCCAATTTTCTCTCTTTACGTCTTTCTAGAGGCCTGTATCTCCAGCCTGCTGCTGTTCTGAGTTGCTGTCTTCCTTAGTTTGAGGAAACATCCTCACATTTTTTAGAGTTGCCAGTCCTCTTTTTGGATTTGAGTTATAGTTGATGATACTGCCTTAAAGTTTTAGTTTTTAATTCCCACTATTTTTCTGACTTTTTATGTAGATGCCATAATAAATACAGCCCAGAAGTGAAGCATGTTTGATCTTAAGAGAGCTTAACCCCATGTGAGAACATAAAGTCCTCTGAATAACAGAGGTAGCAGGCAAATAGGAGCCAGTACTTGCTGTGATGCCGTAGACTCCCTCATAATACTGTGGCTCAAAGTGTAGAATTTAGGATCTGGTATTTTGAGGTTCCATTCAAGACTCTGCTATTTACCAGCAAAGGGTAACATCTTAGATTCAATTTTCTCATTTGCAAAGAGAGATAAAAGATAACTTCAGAAGTTATTAGCATTACATTAGATACAGATATAACCCAGCAGAGTTTATTCATTGCCCATTTCTTTATATTGTTATAAGGTGTTGGCAGAGACACAAGAAGAGAGGCTACTAGTGTGATACATCCCAGAATATCTATTGGGAGATTTAATTTGAAGCTCAGAGAGAATGTAGGCTTGTGTAGTCAGTGAATACACAGTAGGATGCAGAGAGAGTTGTAGGGTATTAGTTTTTCTTCTCCTTAGTGATATCCTCGATCCAGGATATATACTTGTAAACATTGGTGTAGATGCCGACATCCCCTCCCATGAAGTGTCCAACCTCGATCCCTTGGAGCTTGTTATTGCAGATTACAGTAGCGACAGCCACTTCCTATCAGATCAGAGAGAAAGAGAGAGAAATTTGGTCAGAACTCAAAGGAACCTGCTGTCATCTAGAACTTATTTGAGCCCCATCAGTAGAACTGGGGTCATAAAATTTGAGTTCTTTTTCTAGTTGTGCTCTGACTGGTCCTGTGTGATCTTAAATGTCAGAGAATTAGCCTCTCTAGATATACAAATGACTCAGACCTCATTTATTTGAACTGGAAAAGCCAGTGTTAATTTATGAAAAATTTATAATTTCTAAAAAGCAAAGACTGTCTTCATTACTTTAATTATTTTACTAATACCTATGAGAATAAACAGCTAATACATTATTAATAAGAGGTACTACATGAAGCTTTTTAATGAATAAAGATACTTTATAAGGAGTAAGGAGACTCCACCCATGTTTGGAGAAAAAAAGTGTCTTTGCATGGCTCTTATCAAATTCTCGGAAAAATATTTAGAAGTTAAAAAAATTATACCATGCTTAATAGTTAACTGGAGACATACAAGTGAAGGGAAGCTAACTATAGAGAAAAGATTACCCCAAAGAGTCGGCTGAATTCTTTCACAAATTTAATACAAAAAGAATTCCTGTGGGTTCTTCCTTGTTCAGTTTCCTGGCAGGTTTTGTCAGTCATCACAGGGCCCTCCAGGTTCTGCCTTAGGTCAGGATGCCTGCCTGAGGGAATGCAGGGTGAAAGACAACAGTATGCTCCTGACAACCAGGGCTCCGCTAAGCTCTCCTCTTTCCACTGGTGCCTTTTGTGTGTATATTAAGACAATAAGGAAGCAGAAAAAGGGAAGCAATGGTCTTGAACATAATTATGACAGTTAATCCTAAGGATTTTGTAATACTTTTTAATGTGCCTTTGTGAATCAGAGGTTTTCTCTGTTCTGTGTCTAGTCCTGGATGAAAGAATTGTTCTGACTCAGGTTCTCAGAGATGATTTTACACGTGAAATGAGCATGTGTGAGAATAGGACAGCATCAAGGCAAATTGTGACTGCAATCAGGAAGTTTGTGACCCTATGCAGAGATGGATAGCCTGGTGGCTCCAGCTGCCAAAGCCTCAAGGAGGGAGTGGACATTAGGTACTGTGGGAGTGGAGGAGCTTTGGACTTCTGGGAGAGTCTCTTTTTGCCAGAGTAGCTTCTCCCTAGGTTTGCCATCCATTTTCCTGCCCTCTGTTCTCACAGTTGCTCCTTTTTAAGGTCAACTGATGGATGGCTTTAATGTGCCATGGGAGGTGCACTCACCACTGTTTCTCTGGCTCCAGTCTAAACCTGACAGCAGGCAGACAGTGCCTGGCAAGACATTCCTTGAAGCAAGGGGGAGGACCTGGACTTTTCGGTTGAGGGTGGCTGGCTTAGCCAGTTTAATGAGCATGATGTCATCCTGTGGGGCACTGTCATTATAGTTCCAGTAGCGGATAATCTGAATGGGGTTAATCGTCTGCTCTGTTCCATCTCTGATTCTGCTCTTGAAGTTTCCCAGCATCACTTTCAGATTTCTGAAGGGAGAAAGTGTTAGAAATAATGACTATCATCCTCATTATCATTGCTAAGATATTGACTGCTACAATATGCCAGGTACTGTGTCATACTGTACATACTTTATCTAAGTGTGGGCAGTGGACCCTATGTTTGTTTCTGTTTTACAAATGAAGTAGTAGGGGCACATAAATTTATCCATGATCATGTAGCAAATAGTGGAGGCCTTAACCTGTGTGTTTTGATATGGTGTCCTTAATGTAATATAAAGCAAAATGATACATTCCAAAGAAAATTTAATTTTCCATTGTCTCCAGCTTTTCCTCCAGCAATTTCATTTTGGTGGAGACAGGACAATGGAATGACCTGAGTATTACATATCTTCAGTAGACTTCACTAAACGCACTGACAACCCTGTTCTAACCTGATAGGCGCTTTTAGAAGTTTACATGGATTAAATCAATGCATTCTCTTGTCCTGTGGTTCTGATTGGGTATTTGGTTACTAGGAAGCACCAAAAATAATTGGAAGAAGGATGAAGTCTCCCAGTTCCATCCCTACAGCACTGCCTCAGATTGGCTACATCATTCCTGTTAGGTAGTCCTGTCCCCCTCCCCCTCCTCTCTTGCCCCTCCCTGTCCCTCCTCTTCTCTCCTCTTTTCTCTCCTCTATGTCTTACTCTGAAATCTCTCTTTGTCCTTGCCTTGCTAGACATAGTGGTGGTCACTGCATCTTCCTAACCCTAACCCTGGGGATACAGAGCTATTGTGTGTGTTTTCTCAATGATGTTGCTATACTTTCACAGTTCCTTTTAAAATCTCACCAATTTACCAATGTGAGTGCATTACCAGTTACCTGCTGGAGCCTTAATTGATAAATTTCATACTTACAGTAAAAAGTTCTTGGAAAAGCTGATGAGAGAATGAAGAGCTATAACATATAGCAGTGTCACTTACCAACCAGGTGGACAGGTTTTCAGGTGAAGGGCTATGTTTTACACTGCAAGATGTTTAACAGAATCCTTGCTCTGCCTCTACCCACTAGATGTCAATATTACCACTGTCTGATTATGATGACCAAAATTACCTTCATTCAGACTTGGCCAAATGTGCCTTGTGGGGAGGTTGCCCTTTTCTGCGAATCACTTATAGAATGAGCAGTTCCTGCTTTCAGGCACTGAGGATGCCTAATACTCACGGTAAGTAGCAGTGAGCTGGGGCCAGCACCCAGCTGGTTTTGATGAGGACACCCACACAGGGGTTGAAGTGAGACTTGAGGTACGCCAAGTAGGGGGCAGAGTCTTCTTTCTGCTCAGAGGAGTGAGCAAAGAAAGCCATCCCTGAGAAAATAAGTTAGTCCTTTCAATACAGAAGTCTTGGAACGCATGAGACCATGACTTCCCAGTGGAAGAGAAATATAGGTGACTTAAAGTAGCAACTGGCCAGGAACTTCAAATATATTTGATATTTTTTTCTGGAAAAAATATAAATAAAAATACCTTACCCTTATACCTAAAGTTTGTAGTAATAATTTTTGGTTTAAATAATATTTACTCTAAAAACATGAGACTCATTTACTACTTACAAATTGAATTTTTTCCTTGAAAAGTAATTTAGAAATTTAGCAGTTTCATCATCAGTAATTATAAATCATTCACAGATAATGACCTTCTAATTCCAACCCCAAGCATCCTTATATGGACTCTATATATGTCAAATATAAAGATTTGAATAAACACATTTGTTTTAGCACTATTTGTAGCAGCTGAACACCGAAAACATGAATGTCTAATATGTTTATGTTGAACGCTGAAATAAAGAAGCATGTGAACAAGTAGGACATCATATATATTAAAACAAATTTATGAAAATATTAGAGAAGAAATATTAATGATATTTCTATTTTATTTTACTTTTTTGGTGGTACCAGGGATTGAACTTAGGACCCTGTACTTTCCAGGCAGGTGCTTATTCTACTGAGCTTTCTCCCTGGCCCTCCATGACATTTCTTTAAGCTAAAAATCATTTGAAATGACAATGAAGTTATATATAATGTAATTCAATTGTTTGAAAATAATGAACAGAAGACAAACTATTTAAATACAAAAAACAGTCTGGGAGTCAGTTCAAATAAAGTATTAGCATGTGTGGGATTATGAATGATATATATTTTCCTCTACTTTAAAAATTCACAGGATGAACGTACAAATTTTTATAAATGAAAAAGATTTAAATCTCGAGAATAAGGGAGAAGAAGGCTAATTTGGTTCTGACTGTTCTCAGTAATCTATTGATCCTCCTGTCCTTTTCTGAGCAGTCATGGGTAGAAATCCCACGGCAAAGATGCTGGATTACTAATAGAGATGAGGGACACTGAGATGCTTGCCAGACACTAGTCTAGTGCTTCACATGGATTTAGTTTTCACAATTGAATAATGTAGGTAAAGATACCCCACCCTTGTGCTGAAGAATGGAAGCCCAGGTGAGCTAAACACCTTGCCCACTAGCACACAGCCACATGTAGTGCATCCATGGCAGTAACAGAATGGTAGGAAAGGCCTCACTAGCAAATTCTGTAGCTGGAGCCTCCTGGGAGGAAGGGCCTATAGAAGATAGGGACCTGCTCTTAGGCCTCTTAGCTCCTCCTTCTTCATCCTTTGCATTTTGAGGTTTTTTGGGAAGGAGGGAATATCACAGGTCAAAATGGGTTCTCCACCTTTGTGACGTGTGCCCACAGGGTTATGAGACACACTTTGGGATAGACCAGAGAATACGCACTGTTGTGGGTTATCCAAAGCAGTTGTGCCCCATGACCTTCAGTATTAGAAGGGGGCTCAATCTGCCCTGAGAACCTTTGGTCGGATCTAAGAGGAGGGACCAAGGGATCCAGTTTTCTCGTGACTGTTCTTGACTCTCTGTACCTTTCACACATCCCACCTCTGTCTGACCCCCTCCTATACTCACCTCTGCCTGATAGGATACAGATCTGGAATACATACCAGCAAGGACACTCAGATAGAAAATAAATCTCATGGTGGCCCACTCTTTTTATGTGCAGTGCAGAAGACCAGAAAGGTATGGAGCCCTCCACTCAGTTGTCTCCTCTGGAGTGTCTGCAGGAATCAGTGGATACAGTCAGGGAAGGGGCAACCTGGGATCAGAGTGCAGGTTTGGCCATAAACCAGAGGGGGCTGGCTCAATACCGATTGAGGGTGGTGCCTCTATTAGGGCCTTTCCAGCAAAGAAAATGTAACTTAGTTTCTAGATTCTTGGTTCCAGGTGTTCCTATCTGCTGCTCTTTTTAAAACCCAGGCTGCCTGAAGATAGCTTCACTGTCTATTTAAAGGGGAATTGTAGGCTCAGGACTTCTTTCCCACAGTTTCTGAAGCCAGGAATTTAAGGATCAAAATTCCTTACCTTAGTGCAGGCAGACAGTGTCCCTGGTATTTGCTTGGGGTCCCCCAGTGCCCACTCCCTTGTACTCTGCTGAGCCACTCCCATCTTTGTTATGCTACCCTCATCTTTCCCTTTAGCCACTATGTCATCACTCAGCCATTATCACCAGCTTTGGGCTAAGGAAATGAAAAACATCCAGTTATTTTGACAGCTAGGGGGTAGTGCACATTTTAGATGAGCTCTAATGCATGTTGGTGACAATTAGAAGGTAATACCTTTAAATATTTTTCACAGAATGAAAAGATATCTGAGCTAATGACAGGCTACCACAGTCACCCTTGGATAACCTCAGAGCCCTTCTAAGAAGAAGAGTAGTAATAATAATAGTTAAAATTCATTGAGCACTCAGTAAATCTGAGATGTTAAAGTTCGTTCTTTCCTTCCTCTTTCTCTCTCTCTCTCTCTCTCTCTCTCTCTCTCTCTCTCTCTC